TATACGGGGGTACGTATTCACAATGAGCCTATGTTGCTTAAAAATGAGAAATGCTTGTCAGAAAGAGCGTTATGTCACTTGCGTGATGACGTACATCACAGACACGCGCTGCCAGGCGTGCCAGCGCTCAGCAGTTGGTTAAGCTCCGTGACCGTCGCAGAAAGTTTTAGCTACAAAATGAGTGCCTTGAATACAGATGTGAATGAACAAGCTTACACATGTAATAATGCAGATGAAATAGTTGATAAGAGAGGAACGACTAATGCAGCGGTGTGGATGTGGTTCGGCTTTTTAAGTTCCGATAAACGTATAGTTTTGGTGCTCTGCAAAATGTGCGGGAGAATGATGCCACCTTGTAGGATTGAAATCAAACTTCGCTTATTAACACATACATAAAACACGTGACGTGCATATATACTATTGAACGTTCAAAACATGTATGAAACCTGCGCATATACGTATAAATTTGATGCATGCATACAAACGCACGTACATATAAACTCGATCCTTCCATATAATTGATCCTCGTATAAACACCCAAATTAACACTCACTGGATGTTATTATAGACTTTGCAAATTCAGTTTGCAGACAACTGTGGGTACAGACATTCATTGTGTGTGTTCTTGCCAGTTTTTTCCTGGCTTTTAGTTATTGTCCATATTGATATCGGAAATATATTGTATCGACCGAAATTAAGAAATATATAGTGAAATAAATTTTTGCCATATAAATTATCGTCCAGCCCTAATTGTTCCCAGAGATGCATTGCAGCTGGAAGGGCAGTAAAACATATGCTGGATAAGTTGGCGGTTCATTCTGGTGTGGCAACCCCAGATTAATAAATGGACTAAGCCGAAAAGAAAATGAATGCATAAATGAAAATGTTTATTGTTAATTAATTTTGCTTATATTGTAGCTGTTATGTTTTCTTTGCTATAGTAATTAAAAAGTAAAAATCCTTATAAATCCTTAAAAATATATATAAAATATATACTGAAAATTCAATTTAAGTATTTTGATTTAATAAATTTTTAAGCATTTAAATCCATGCAGTAAGGAATTTAAGAATTTAATCCAGGCAATGCATTTTTTATAAGGATTTATAAGGATTTTTAAATTAAATATTAAAAATGTATTAAATTATATATATATATATATATATATATATACATATATACACACACACACACACTTTTTGGTAGTATTTTTGGATATTTGTCCTTTTTAAAAATTGATAGAAAAGAGAGAAAAGTCTGTGAATATGTGAATATGTGCATTTTTTGGGCCCGATCAGAGCTAATATTGCCTAATTTTTTCATCATTGCATGACTTTTATGACCATGGTGAATGCCCTAAAAAGTTTCAGGCACGATGTGCAAAAAAAAAATCACTTCTGTCATAAAAGATTTTCCATGAGCTCTTGCTGATTTTTCTAGGGCCGTCTCACATAGCACACGTTATCAGACAAGAGATCACACACTGTGAATCCCTGACATTATACGAGAGGGCACAGCGAGCAGCTACACCGCTTTTGCAAACATCCCTGACGACATATGACATTGTTCACACAAACGTTAGACTTTTAAATGCTGACCTCTCATGCACAGCAGCATGACACAGCTGACAGGGGGTTCACTGTTGCAATGATAATTCAAAGAGACTCCAGAGACCTCATAGCATGGATTAAAAAACTAGGAATTCATCCTACAGGCAACAGAAAGCGGATAAAAAGAGCTTCGAGACACAAGTCGTTTATATTACAATGCATGTCAGAGTCTAACAAGATCTATTTAACTCCTCTTTTATGCAGTCATGATGGACACATCAAGGCCTATAATAATACCCTTCATTATGAAATATGCATTATCCATTAGTTCCATAAGTCAGTGTACTCCCTTATGCATGATATGTATTATCATGTTCTCGGTCTCCTCTAAATGTTGCTTAATAGAGGTAGGTAAGTTAACAAAGGCTGTACAGGATGCATTGATAAATCATGTTATTAAATGTGTAAATCTTTTTTCTCTTCTACTTTGAAAAGCAATTCTGAATCCCATTTCTTTGAATTGTGTTTGTCTTGAGAATGCTCTTTGTATATTATCTGCAAACATTGTGGAAAATGTGCACTTTCAGCAATATTTGATAGTTTCATTTACAGTCACTATTAAGACAGGTGTCACATTTTAATATAAAAATACTTTTAAAGCATGATGGGAATGGCAGAAATTTGAATACAGCTGAATAAAGCTAAAAACTTCATAATAGTGTGCATTAATCATCATAACAAACAACATCACGTTGTTTAATGCTCACCGTTCATTCATTTTCTTTCCACTTAGTCCCTTTTTTTATAAGGGGTCGCCACAGTGAAATGAACTGATAACTTATCCAGCATATGTTTTACACAGTGGATGCCCTTTCAGCTGCAACACAGTACTGAGCAACACCCATACACTCTTACATTCACACACACACTACGGCCAATTTAGTTTATTCAATTCACTTGTACCGCTTGTCTTTGGACTGTAGGGGTGCTCAACATTCATATAAAAATATATAATATAATATAATATAATATAATATAATATAATATAATATAATATAATATAATATAATATAATATAATATAAAATAATATATTATAATATATTATAAAATAATATAATATAACATAATATAAAATAATATAATATAACATAACATAACATAACATAACATAAAATAATATAATATAATATAACATAACATAACATAACATAACATAACATAAAATAATATAATATAATATAACATAACATAACATAACAAAATATAATATAACATAATATAATATAATATAATATAATATAATATAATATAATATAATATAATATAATATAATATAATATAACATAATATAATATAATACAAATAATATAATATAACATAATATAATATAATATAACATAATATAATATAATATAATATAACATAATATAATATAATACAAATAATATAATATAACATATTATAATATAAAATTATATAATATAATATAATATAATATAATATAATATAATATAATATAATATAATATAATATAATATAATATAATATAATATAATATAATAAAAAAAGTTATTTGTGCAGTATTTTTTATGAATTAATGTGTCATGTCTGCACCTTTACAAATATTGTCAATAGCCAATAGTCTACCATAGTACTGAATGAATACATAAACATTTACCAAACTCAATGTATTTACATTGAAGTATTTAATATAATAACATATATAACCACAAAATAGTGTCACAAAAGGTGATAATACTACTTCCCCTCCCCCCCCCCACCAAATCAATTACCATGGAAAAGTATCTAATCAGAAGGCATATCCATGGTACAAAGCAATTATGAGCTATCATCATAACAGTGTGCAAAACCTGGTTATTAAATGGTAACTATAAGGTCCCTACAGGTATATTTATTTTATATGATTAATATCCAGCATTTAACCATATAGTACTTCTTGGTTTTACCACACATAAAATCAAAAACCTATTGTATTTAATGGTGGCCACAATTTAAAAACCTAGTTTCACCATGGTATTGTAAAACTGTGGTACAACTCAGATAATATGCCAAATAAACATGGTTAATGCACTTATACTATAATACAACCATGGTTCATTTTTATAAGGAATAGTTTTTGAAGTAGACAACCACATTAATAACATAGAAATTGGGAAACGCAACAGAAACACGATAACAAGAATTTACAAATATCACATAACTTACTAAAAAGTGGACACAAACAACCTCATGTTGTATAATGCACAAAGTTCATTCATTTTCTTTCTGCTTAGTCCCTTTTCTCATCAGGGGTCGCCACAGTGAAATGAACTGCCAACTTATCCAGCATATGTTTTACACAGTCGATGTTCTTTCAGCTGCAACCCAGTACTGAGCAACACCCATACACACTCACATTCACACACACACTCATGCACTATGGACAATTTAGCCTACCCAATTCACCTGTACCACATGTCTTTGGACTGTGGGGGAAACCAGAGCAAACCCACGCGAATCCAGGGAGAACATGCAAACTCCACACAGAAACGCCAACTGAGCCGAGGTTCGAACCAGCGACCTTCTTGCTGTGAGGCGACAGCACTACCTACTGCGCCACTGCCTCGCATAATATAATATAATATAATATAATATAATATAATATAATATAATATAATATATGACAATAAAAGTTATTTGTGCAGTATTTTTTTATGAATTAATGTGTCACGTCTATGCACCTTTACAAATATTGTCAATAGCCTATAGTCTACCATAGTACTGAATGAATACATAAATATTTACCAAACTCAAGGTATTTACATCAAAGTATTTAATATAATAACATATATAACCACAAAATAGTGTCACAAAAGGTGATATTACTACTTTTTTCCCCAAAAATCAATTACCATGAAAAAAAGATCTAATCAGAAGGCATATGCTACGCAGCAATGGTCCTAAATCATAAGCCATCATCATAACAGTGTGCACGGTTATAATATGGTAACTATAACGACCCTAAATCCCTTTGATATTATCGATAACCAGCATTTAACACATACAGTAGGCTACTTCATGGTTTTCCTACAAATAAAATCAAAAACCTATTGTATTTAATGGTGACCACAGAAAAAAAAACTAGTTTAACCATGGTATTGTAAAACTGTAGTTATACGAGTTAATACGCCAAATAAACATGGTTATCACTTCTACTATAATAAAACCATGGCTAATTTTCGCAAGGAATGTTTTTTAAAGTAGGCAACCACATTAATAACATAGAAATTGTAAAACGCAACAAAAACACGATAACAAGAATGACACTTTCATACAGGCATCATATAACTTACTAAAAAGTGGACACAAACGATTAAGATTATCGTAAACACGCGATAGGCGGCGAAAACAGAAACTTATAACCCAATTACTGAGCGTCCATTTATTTACCTGTTCATCCTGATGTGTAACTTTCTCCAGGAGTCAGTCGAGACATCCTCTCATCAATCCCTCGAAAACATCACGACTCTCTCAAACCCTCTGCAGACTTTTCCAGTTGTTAAATTCAGCTGTGATTCAAAAACAAATCACCTATGACCTGTTTAAGGAAAGCGCGGGGTTTTTCTTCAGGCTTTCTTTCATTCATTCAGCGTGGAGATCCGCACAACCGTTCTGTCCGCGTCCCCGCGCGCGCTCACCGCGTTTTCCCCGTGAAATGAGATTCATATCGAACATAACAATATTTCTCAACACTGTGCCGCTTCTAATCTCTATCAAATCTGTTAAAAGCTCGATTCCCCTCCCTCTCTTGCTCTCACTCCCTCAGTATGTGTGTGCGTGTCTATCTCTCTCTCTCTCCTCTCTCCTATTCTGTCGTGCAGTTTGTTTGTTGGTCACTCTGCCCCTCATGTTCCGTTTAGGGGGGGGCGTTACAGTTTATTTTCATCTCTTTTATTAGACTTTTCTGAAGTACATTTTCCTGGGGACTTCAAGAACAATCCTTTTATTGGGGGAGGATTTCTGAACAGTGCCTTTGTGGTGAAGAGCTTTAAAGCTTTAATAAACATCCCAGCGGGCACCTTGATGTCAAAACGACATCAAATAGACATCAGGCATGACGTCAAAAATGCTAATCGATTTGATGTCAAATCCTTGACGTCATTTGACAGCCACACTTTGATGCCGACCAAAATAACTACACAAAAAGTATCATAAAGATCAGCTATATTCATATGAAAGCATCAATTACACTAGATTTGGTATTGAATTACTTTAATATTACAAAACAAAGCAAGTAAACTATCTTCATCATCAAACTGACATCAAACATTGGTGTCAAAAAACATAAAAATCCTATATAATCAATCTTTGACGTGTTTTTTGATGCCATTTTGACATCAAGGTGCATGCTGGCTTTTTACGGTATTGATTAACACAGACAAAATATGAATTATTTAATTTACATTAAAACAGTCCTGTTGAGTGTCTGTTGAATGAGTTTTACTAACCATCATCACTCTAAATGCTAAGTTCTGTAACCCAACATGTCTAATATGGACAAACTCAACAGTTAAAATGTGTCATTTAAATTTAAAAGGTGCAAAAAGGTGATTGTCCTCAGAGACATTATTTGTTTTGCTGGTTGAAAGTCTCTTCATATTCATTAATGTATATGATGTAAAAGCATTTGTGTGCCAAGTTGAGTAAAAAAAAAATGTGTTCAAAATGAACATAACATAGCCTTATAAGTTTAAACAATGTGTCTAGTTTTAAGATCTGTAAAAGGACAAACTCAGATAAGAAGAGAAACATTTTTTCCATCGTGAACTGAACAAATGTCAATTCCACCACATCTCAATATACAGCTTTTATTTTAAAATTAAATAAATGATGGCAGTCAAACATTGCCTAAGATCATTTCTGTATGTAGTTTAATCAATCTTTCCACAATATATACAATACTTATACATTTGTCAATGAAATAAATTAGTTGTATGATGAATTGTACACCTGTCACACTCTACAATGTTATATTAATTTGGTTAAGAGCTTATTAGAAAATAAATTAACTGAATTTTTATTTTAAATAGAGCAAGAACTTTTACATTGTGAAAACACTATTAATGTGTGATGAGAACTTTTTAAATATTTCAAAATTTGTGTGTGGTGATGGGAAGGAAAGTGGTGGAAATGACATTTCAACAGTTTATTGTTAAAAAATGAGAAATAGCTTCAGCGATTAGCTTTGAATTTATACTAGCCTTTCATGTATACTAAACACTCTTATTTACCTTCATTTTGTTTGGTTTTAAAAACATCTTTGAAGGTACAAAATGTTTGGAAATGACGTAGAATAAATGAATAAATAAATAAATAAATAGAATAAATGTATTTCCTTATCAAACAATATTTACCTTGATTTTACTTCAAGTGTTGTTGATAAAAATTTAAATTCCCTCCATCTTAAAGATTTTCTCAGATGGCATTATTCACTTTTATAGAAACCACCTAAATAATCTTTAACACAAACAAAAAAAAAAAGCAACATTACAATGTTGTGGTGGAAATGACACTGATACTGTGCGACAGCTATATTTTGTATAAAAAATAATATTGATAATAGTCTCACATTAATAACTATAAAATATTTAAATTATTTCAATAGTGCTTCATTAAGATACATTAATATTTAACAGATAAATAATATTTTAAAATATTATTTTCATTGTTGAAGTTTAAAACTCTGGGTGTGCGACGAGGTAAAAACAACAGTGCCTGTAGTTGAAGAATTACCCTTATAAGTATTTTTATATTCTGGTTAAGGCAGGATTTAAAAAATGATCGTCCAATCAAAATATTCAGGCCGAAAAATACAGTAAGCAGCCCAAACTGTCTGTCAACAAAGGTAGATTTGTATATCTCACATCATTTGTGACTGTCAGGCAAACATAAATAATTAAGATATTTTTTACCCCCCCCCCCCCTAATTTCTGTTAGAAATGTTTTTTAAAAACTGCTTTTATTGTAGCTGAAATAAAACAAGACTTTCTCCAGAAGAAAAAATATTATTAGACATACTGTGAAAATTTCCTTGCTCTGTTAAACATAATTTGGAAAACATTTTTAAAAAAAAAATAATTAAATGGGGGGCGAATAATTCTGACTTTAACTCTATATACCCCATTTTTTTGCAAGAAAGGATAAAAAGACCACATGAAGTCTCTGCAAGTCATATCTTTGCCAGAAAGCAGAACCAATCTTAAAAGGATTAAAGAATAAAAAAGGATCCTGATGTAGAATAGCTAATGTTAAATTATTTAATAATTACTAACATCTGCTAATATTACACGTTATGTAAGTACAATATTTGGCATACCGTATGTGCATCTGCAAATCACAGGAGAAAGAGTCTTGCTTCCCTCAATGTTTCCTCTTCCATCTGAAAGTGGAAGATTTTTCCTCACTGTCACTTTTGACTTCTTCACTGGAGGATTTTAGACTCTGTAATGCTGCTTTTAAAAATGTGTATTACAAAAAAAAAAAAAAAACATTATATAATTAGAACCAACTTGACATGTCAAATGAAAATAAAAATTCCATTAGTATTCCCCTTGGGATTTTCTTCTTGTGATTCAGTAGCTTTAACAACACCTTCTGTTCGCTTGAACTTTACAGGTGTGACATCCTGTCAAAAACAGAAAAATCTCTCACCTAGTGGCTCCAGCTTGATCAAATACACAGAACTGCGCTAAAAAGTCATCTGTTTTCTGCATCTCGATGTTGAATTGATCCTTTTTAAATGGGGCTGTACGATTTTCTAGCAATTCTAACATTACAGTATTTTTGTGATATATATTGTGATATGAATACAATACAATCTCAACATTGCATATCCTGTGATGTGACTACTGCAAATGATCACATTGCGAGTTGATGCTGCAAAGATAAACTGTGCAGCCCTTCTTTTAAAACAACAGCTCTGCACAAAAACAGCCAGGAATGTTTGCTCTGTCATACAAATACTGATTTGAGGTGTAAATGTTGATTAGAAGTTCTGCAAAAGACAGAAATGAGATCTGAATTTTGGATATTTCATGTGTAATGTACATAAAATAATACTTTATTGACATTTGTTTGGAAGAATGATTAAAAATTAAACAATTTACTTGAAGATTTTAAAACTGCAAAATGTTTTCTTTTAAGAAATAATTACTTTTTTGCCAGTGGCACACACACACTTAGATTGTTAAGAAAACATGAATGTGTTTATAATCTCAGACTGCTCCGCTACGTTTACTGCAAGTCTATTTAGAAAAATACACTTTATAAATGGCATTTTGCTGTTTATTTTCCCAATATAAATGTTAACCCGGATGTTGTAGCTTGCATTGGCAGTTTTAAAACGTATGAGAAAAAAATTAATTATATATATATATATATATATATATATATATATATATATATATATATATATATATATATGTGTGTGTGTGTGTGTGTGTGTGTGTGTGTGTGTGTGTGTGTGTGTGTGTGTATGTATGTATGTATGTATGTATGTATATTTATATATATGTATGTATATATGCGCTCACTGGCTACTTTATTAGGTAACGCAATTACTTTATTAGGCTTCTCGTTAACGCAAATTTCTAATCAGCCAATCACATGGCAACAACCCAATGCATTTAGAAATGTAGTAAAGGTTAAGACGGTCTGCTGCCGTTGAATGGCCAGACTGATAGAAAAGCAACAGTAACTCAAATAACCATTCATTACAACCGAGGTATGCAGAAGCGGCAGCAGCAGAAAACCACACAAGGTGCCATTCCTGTCAGCTAAGAACAGGAAACTGAGGCTACAATTCGCATAGGCTCACCAAAATTGGACAGTAGAAGATTGGAAAAACGTTGTCTGGACTAATGAGTCTCGATTTCTGCTGCGATATTCAGATGGTTGAGTCAGAAGTGAGAATTGTCAGTACCAATTGAGCATCCTGTCAATGCCACAGCCTACTCGAGTAGTGTTCCTAACCATGTCCATCCCTTTATGACCACAGTGTACCCATCTTCTGATGGATACTTCCAGCAGGATAATGTGCCATGTCAAAGCGTGAATCATCTCAGACTGGTTTCTTGAACATAACAATGAGTTCACTGTACTGAAATGGCCTCCACAGTCACTAGATCTCAATCCAATAGAGCACTTTTGGGATGTGTCCACCCATGGGAGGTTCGGTTCATGGATGTGCAGCCGACAAATCTGCAGCAACTGCGTGATGCTATCATGTCAATATGGACCAAAATCTCTGAGAAAAATTTCCATTACCTTGTTGAATCTATGCCATGAAGGATTAAGACAGTTCTAAAGGCAAAAGGGGGTCCAACCCAGTACTAGTAAGCGGTATCTAATAGTTAAATATAATGTAAAAATAAAAATCTACAAGAATAAATATATCATAATTACAATAGTATATATATATATATATATATATATATATATATATATATATATATATATATATATATATATATATATATACATAAATAAAACACATGTATCTGAACAAATGGTAAAGCAGAAATGATTTCATGACCACATCTAAAAACTTATATTAAAAGATCATGCATGCATTTTAGGGTTAAAGCAGAGATCAGCATTCCTCTGTGAGTCCATGCATAAGTGATTCAAGCATTGTATTTTTAGTGCAATAGGGAAACTGTGCAGGTCTAAAAACATTAAAGTTGCATAAACTCATGGGGGATGTTTGAGGACCTGGAACCGCCTGCTTAACATGGAAGCATCTGATCATTGTTCTCGATGAATAAAAACATTGCTGAAACATAGCACA